TTTCGGCTCATTATCAAAGCAGAGCATTGAAATTTGGCGCTACTATTAAAGAATTGGTTCTCCTTTCAGTTCTGTCAGCGTTTGCTTCCTGTGTTTTGAAACTCTGATATTGGGTGCACAAAAGGCTGATGTTGTTACAGCTTCTTTGTAGATTGAACCTTTCATCTCCGTTAACTTTTAATACTAGCTCGGTCAATTTTCCCTGGCAGAAACACGGCCAGCCTCTATCTCTGTTTGTTACTATTTGAATGAAATATCTTCTTCCATCCTTAAACTTTCAACTTCTTTGTGTATCTAAAGTGAGTCTTTTGTAGATGGCGTATTTATGAACCATATTTTAAAAATCCATTCTGTCAGTCTCTGCCTTTTAATCTGGAAACTTTACACCATTAATGTTTAAAGTAATTGCTGATAAGGAAGCGTTTCTGCCAGTTAGCTATTTGTTTTATGACTTACATGTTTTTTCGTTTGAGTTTCCCAATATTGCTGTTTTATATTTAGTGGGGGTTTTTTGTAACACATGATTTTAATTCTCTCCTTTCCTATATATTTCCCACCTGTTTGGGGTGTTGCTGTTTAAAATATATGTAGTTCTGAGGGGCCCAGGCCTTCACAGTGAGTTACATCCCCACCCCTTTCTATTTTCAATCCGTATGATTTTTATTTTTTAATTTATTTTAAATTTTTATTACCCACAACTGTAATCCCATTATTTTAATGTCAGCAATACTGTTTTTTAAAAAATAATCTTGATTATTAAATTGTTTCTTTCTTTAACAAGTTCATTATATCAAAATGTTAAGTAGTAATCCAAGCGTAGTAATCCAAGCTTATGGACAGGCAGCTGAAAAACTTGAACATCTACATATGTGCAGACTTGAAGTCTCCAGAATTTTTAGTTCATTAGAGTCAAGGACATTATTTTCCCCTCATTCAGTCCAAAACTGGAATTTTCTGACAATAAGTTCAGATCTGGATTCAGTTACATAGGCAGTTTTACATTAGTCATCATCATTCTTAGCTGAAGTCACAAGTTTCTGTTACTGACCTAGAAAACCACTGAGATTACCTCTTTTCCCCTCCTTCCTTCCCTTCCTCCCTTCTTTTTCTCTGAGACAAAGTCTCTCTGTGTAGTTCACACTGCCTTTGAACTCACTATGTAGCCCAGGCTGGCCTTGAACTGGAGGAGATCCTCCTGCCTCAGCTTCTTGATTGCTGGGATTATAGGTGTGCACTACCATGCCTGACTGAAGTCACCAATATTCTGTCCAACCAAAGCAGGAAGAATTCAGCCAAGTTACTGATGGTAAGTCGGATTGAATTACAAAGGAACATAAAATTTTGCTCTAATGATGGGAAACATTCTTAACTGATAAAAAAATCCAACTTACTGGAAAGGCTAGTATTTCTGAAAATTGAGAGACCTTAATTCAAGCCTTGTTAAGTAGAGTGGGTATGAGGTTAGATGTGCAAGTGTATATTTGTGTCAGGGAGACAGAAAAATAGATGAGACTAGGATAGGAGCCAGGATGGCTGCCTCTGCTGCTCTCGCCCGCCTCAGCCTACTGTAGTGGAAATGCAGAGGTGCCTGGGTCGACCGAGGCAATGAGCATGAAGGTGTGGCCGGTGACATCTGGATGACACAGCTCTTCAGAAGGTGAGGAAAGCTGAGTGTCTGCCAGCGGACAGCTCCACTGGGCTCTGGGTGAGACCTGGAACCTCGCTGAACACAGCCTTGGGACCTGGGCGAGACTGAGGGCCTCTGGGCCACTGAGGGGAGCCTCACAAGCCTCAGCCTGTTCTCCAGCTGTACTAACAGGATCTAGGTCACACCCTTTGTCTTGCCATCTCCACTCGCCGACATGTTGAGAGCTGAGGTTGTCAAGTGGCGAATGGGTGACAAGGACGACGTAGACCTTGTAGTTAGTCTCTGGCGATGGTCACACGTGGCAAAACATCTTCCCCTGGCACGGACGGCTCAGTGCCTCCCTTACACCGCCTCCTCACTGGCGCCACCTGTCTGCCTCACTGTGTCTTATGACGTGATGCAGAGGCTTTGTTCTCAGTCAGAGTGTCTCCTCTCTCCTGTTTCAGGTGTTGTTAGACACACGCAGTACTGGGGACTGAACCCAGGCCCCGCACTGAGCTGCCCTGGCCCTTTTCGTGTGTTATTTCCAGACGGGATCTTGCTAAAGTGCCCTACAGGTATGCACCACTGCGCCCGGCTTCACCTGTCCTTGAAACGTCTTTCTCTGCTTGCTCTTTTCCTCTTCCCCTCCTCTCTGTGCAGCTCTTCCTTGTTCTTGAGGTCTCAGTTATTTCTTCCTGAAGGCCCTCTCTGCCCGTTACCCAACCCTGCTACAGATGGGGTTTTGTTTCCTGCTGTTTCTTATAAATGAGTGACACTAATCATTGTTTTTTTCCCTCTAAACCATAAGCCCCGTGAAGGCAGGGATTATGTCTCCTCTCTGTGTCCCTATTACCTGAAACAGCACAGGAAATTAGTGGTATTGTTCACTGAATTAAGACACATACATTAAGAAATTCTGAGTTACAAGTAAAAATGGTCAGTTATATTAAATTGGACGTACATGTCTGTTCTTTCTAAATGAATCAGAGACAAAGCACTCAAAAGGGTTATGGCAGTAGAAAATAAACTTGTTTTGCTCGCAGACTAAACCATGTGACTCTTTAGAAACATAACTCATAGTCAAACTGTTCTCACACCCCCGCCCCCAGGAGTAGGATGGGATAAGAAGTCAGTCCAGGAGAGCTTGAGTGGAGCCGGCTCTGCAATGGCCGAGGATCTGCTCCCCCAGAAAACAAGGGAACGTGTATTTAAGGTTTTATGTGCCAGGTATCGTCCTATATGAACATGCGAGTGTCCCTTTCCTCCTCTGCAGAGTGGTGTATGGTAGTACTTCACTCCTACTGAAAAGGAGGGCTGAGAGATCCATGCAGTAGGCTGAGAGCAATGCCTGCTATGTTAGGAACAATTGCTCTCTACCTGACATTATGTCATCTGCTGAAATACAGATGGCTTTCTGGGACCTGCCTCACCTGGGAGAAGGTACCTGAGCATAGCCTATGCGTTAGTGTGAAGCCCGCAGGTGTACAGTGCCAGACAGCATGATGGAAGGCTGTGCGTGTGCGTGTGTGTGGAAGGCCTTTGGGTATTTTAAGTAGAAAGGGCATTTTATAAAACTGAGTTAAATCGTTAAGTGTAAAACAGGATCAAATCTATTACTTTTTTGAGAAAGGGGAACGTTTCTGAAATGGTATATGGGACATAGTTGATTTTCAAATATTTCTTCAAGTGAATGATTTCCTATCACACCGGCAGGTATGTAACAACTGCATCTGTGCAACTATGGAACCTGTGACGGGCACAGTATTGGGACTGAACCTATCAGCATCTCCATCAGTCCACTCTGCTTCCTCCCTCCCTACACACACCCCAGTCCTATATCAAACCTCGCCCATAAGAAGCAGAGCCAGGGCAGCCTGGGGGTGAGGCCTGGGGAAGTAAGAGCCTTTGTCACTAAGGCTAGCAGTTCCGAGTCCCCTTTGTCAACAAAACGGCTGAAAGGCAAAGGGATGATTTGGTTTCTCCCATCCTGTTCCCTTCTCATTACATAGTAACTGACAGAATTTAAGATTAGAAGATGAGGGGACCGCTTTTCAAACTCATTCCATGCTGCCTCCTCTTCAGCTTCGGTAATTTATTTCTGTATCCGTAACAGAGAGCAGATTTTAACAGTTCTTCTTACAGGTAGGTGAAAAGACACATTTTCCAGCTTGTTTCCATATGAAAAAGTGAAGTTTGGAAATGGAAATAAACCAACTCACTTGCTTCTGAAACACCTTTTGTCACAAAGTATTTATTCAACAAAAATAATATTACAGTAAAAATGATACATATATGAAAGTGAATGAAAATTTGCAGTAATAGAAAAGATGATACAAAGAGACCAACATTCAGGATATAAAGTTCTAACAAACCTCAGCTGTATCAGTGTAACGCTGATCAAGCAAACAGAGAGAAGTTAATGTTTTTGGAACCTAACACACACCACGAGGCAGCTATAAGAGTTTTTCTTTAATACCTCCAGTTTTGTTTGCATTATAGCAAATATTTTGATCCATTTAAAAAGTGATACTTTTTCAGTTCTAATAAATGGATCTAGAGTATATGTTAAACACAGTATTTTGGGGAAAAATCAGATTCTTAGTCATTTGAGTATTTCCAATCAACTCTGACATTTTTCAACTATACAAAAAATATTTTTCATTGAAATTCTTGCACATTATCTTCCTTTAGTTCCTTTATAAGAACCTTGCATTTTGGATATGTTCATTTGTTTCTTTCCTAACATAGAATTTTGGGCCAGAAGTAACTTACAGCGAGGCTTCGGGGAACAAGGGACCATCACTGGTGCCTGCCATCGCTGTGTGCGGTGAGCTGTGTAGCCCGAGGCTACTCCCAGCTGCTCCTGGGCACGTGGACCTGGTACAAGGGCCCTTTCTCAAAGGGCCCCTCTCGCTCTAACATTTCCATTCTGTAATTACCAGTTCCTTTGTTTGAACCAGCTCCTTTGTTTTAGTACAAAATTATCATTACCCTGTGAGTGAATGACACAGTTGTCTATTTGTGGATTTTGAAACTAGTCCCATGACGTTATAGTCTGAAGTGTACTGGAGTGTTTCAGATTTTCTCCCTTGGTAAGGACACACATAATCCAATTACAGAGGTTCGATTCCAACAGAAATCTTAAGTATTTGAACATAATTTGAGGAAAGCTCAAGGAATTTGTTTTCATAATCTTTTTCATTAATCCCTGCCTTTTAAATGACTGGGTTTTTTTTTCCCCCCCTTAATCAATTACTTAGCCTTGCTTCAAATTGATTTGTTATAGTTAAGGATTATAGTTAACCTAGTTTGTTTGTTTCATTTTTTGAGACAGGGTCTCGCTTTGTAGTTCAGGCTGCCCCTGAACTGTGTAGCCCAAGCTTGCCTCAAACTCATGCGATCCTCCTGCCTCTGCTTCACCATGTGCCACCAAGCCCAGCAGTTAACCTAGTTTTGAATTTAAAGCACTGGGCACTTTCTAGCTCCCCTGTCTTAATTTGAACCTTTCCTATTTGATGTACAGGCAGCGCCTCTGAAGTGACACCTACTGATTTTTTTGAAAGAACAAAAAATATATTTCTGTTACTGTTCTAAACTACACTACACAAAAGAATTTACAGCAGTGTTCCAAATTGTTACATAATCCTTTCAATTTCACTATGACGAGGTTCCTGAAAATTTTTTTCTTTTATCAGATTTTCTTCATTCTCACCATAAAGATAGTAGTTCCAGTCTCCAGGCAAAGCCTCCAGTACCTCTAGATCTGTGATACAGTGCATTTTTTGATCCACCAAAAATTGTGAAAACACATACATGCAAAGATTACTGGTGTGACAAAATTGCTTCTTTGGTGGAATTTATCACCAGTCTGAGCCTCTTCCAAAACACTAGATTTTTAAAATATTAATTAAAGTTCGAGGGATTCAGAGAAACTCTTAACTCCCACTGACAGGGTAAATATATCAGATGAGTATAATTTATTATGGAAAGCAGGGAGGTCAGGGCTAATTTTTAAAAATAATATGCTAACCTAGGAAATATTCTGGGGATTTAGATGATACAGACCAGTGGCTTTTAGGATAAACGGTTAAAAGACTAGCCTTTCAAAGTTCATTTTTTGAAAATGCACTTTAGAACATTTTCATTTGTAAAGGTTTATTGTCTAAATATGGCTTATTTTTATAAAAACGTTACTTGGATGTTGCATTTACTGAATTTCAGTTCAGAAGAGGTTCTAAGGCAATTCTACAGTTGAAAGCAAAAAAGAAAAAGTGATATGACTATGCTTTCATATTTTGCCTACTTGTGAAAAATAATGAAGTTCTACTAGAGATCTGTTCAATACTAACTGTCTTTCGAACATTTTCTCTTAACACTAAAAATATATAAATCATTTACATAAAAGTAAATGCAAAGGAAGGCACAGCTGGTTATAGTGTGTATATAAGCACAGTTCAGCATATGCAGAAGTAAAGAAAAAAGCTTCACATCCTTATTAGTTATATTGAAGACATTAAGAAAAGTTCTTCACTGTCAACAGTGTTCAACACTTAAGAGCTAAGAGGATATAAAAACAAAAACATTAAAATCCACTTAATGCAAAACAGATTTTCATATATACTTGAATATATAAAAAACAGATTTTAAAATGCTAACATAAATCTAGACTATCCATGTTATGAAAAGTGCAAACCAAATTAACAGAGGGTTTCACAATGTCCTCGTGACACAGGTAAACTAGCCCATGGGGACAGATTTCATTCATCAGTTAATGAGTCCTTCGTGGTGACCAGACAGCATCAGGATTTCTGAGAGCTTGAGGAGAGCAGTACTGGAGAAGCAGCTCTGTCCAGCCCGGGGAGTGGCACCGGCATGTGGCCATTGAGCAGTGTGGGGAACTGTAGGTGACAAGAGAGTAGAAAGATCAGCCCTGTAAGTCCTCACAGGGGTTCAGTTCTCGCATTGCCGCTGTGATGGGGGTCGGCTACCAATCTGCTTTACGGAATAGCTGGAAACCCACTACAGCCAAAAGAGGGGCAGGCCCTGAAAATGTCCTAGTCATTCTGTATGCTCCGGCTAGTAGGAGAAAACGCTAAAGCATGCTGTGTTTTTAAATGTTACAATCTATTTAGAATTCTGATTTGCACTGAGAAAAAAATTTTGAAAACCAGCCTCTACATGACTCTCTACACCAATTTCTAACCCTATATTTTGAAATTTGCCATTGGTTTTCCCAAGTACTACAGAAATGTTTCTCAGTAACTATTAAAAATTAGGAATGTTTTTATCTTTTTAAAAAGATTTTAAATGGAAAGAATATGTTTATTTTGGAGCTGAAAAAAGTATTCTTTCTTTGATAATATCAAGCTGAACAGACCGCCCACTGGTGACAAAGATTAAAATTAATGTCCGTGTAGTTGGCAAACTGAGAAGACCAAAGAACAGATATAAAGGTATGTGCTTGGATAACAAGTTTTAGGTCTGAAGCAAATGTGTCAGCCACACTCCCACCTGAACAGTACTAGGGCCTCCTTTTAAAACACGACTACTTGCAATTCCATTTTTTCATTGCCCAGGATGATTGATACGTGTCAGAATCTCCTAGGCTGTCTCCTAGTTTAATTCCTATTTAGGTCACGTTAAGTTAAATATTAAACCTCAGCCTAAATGTCAAACTACCTAGCCTGGCACAAGTCAGAAAGTACAACAAATATTTGTAGAACAAGTAAATATATTTTTGCAATTTTCAAACTATTTCAATAACTTACATTTAATGCCTTATTGTTTACCAAGGGCTATCTTGGAATCAGAGCTATAAAGTAGGTTTTCTTATTCCCATTTTACAAATGAGCAAACAGTTCAAATAAGTTCTGATTACCCAATGGTCACAGCTATAAACAACAACAACACATTTGAGTCTGATTGAAATCATTCTGTACTAAGCCGCCCAACTTCTTAGTAGTGTTTGTTTCTTTAATAGTTATTGGTATAGCCAAGGTTTTGTTTCTTTCCAGCACTTTGGGATTTTTATCTCTTAGGGAATTTTATCCATTCCAACTATATACAGTCTATGTTCTTACATGTGAGCCCATCTTTGCTCCTAAGCACTTTTCCCACTAAGAGTGAACAGCAGAAGAATTCAAGCAGGTCTTGAATTTTCACTCTTTCATGGAGTGTACCTTCTCCTTTTCTTGGCTTTGCCCATCTTATTGGTGCTTTCAAAAGAATCCGCGTTGGTTTTGTTAGTCTTCTCTGTGTTTTAAGATACTGATTTCCGCCCTGGCTTTTTGCTGGGTACACTTCGTGGTCACAGGCTCTTCATGAGCCTGGCTTTTTTCTGCTGTATTTCTTAGGCATCTTTACTGGCTGTTCTTCCACTATAGCTCTTAAATTGCATCACTTCCCCAACTTTTGTCCTCTGCTTCTTTTCTCCAATACCGTATCCGCTCTTGACAGCCATTTTCATCTCTGATGATGTCTCCGACCAGTGCTTCTTCCCCACCAAACCTGTCTTCACTGGTGCTTTCTCTAAGTCAGTGATGGTGGTGGCTAATACAAACTGCACTTGAATCGGGCCTCCACCTCTTCTTAGCGTGATCTTGGGCAACCTGGCAGCCTCCCTGTGCCTTAGTTTCCTCATCTTTAAAACAAAACTACTGGGCAAGCACTAGAAGTAGCTTAAAATTGTCTGGCACCCACAAGATCCCAACAATGAATGTAACTGTACTGTGTCCCTAAAATGTACCAATAAACTCAATTAAAGCTGAAAAAAAAAATTGGCACCCAGCGTGCCCTCTGTAAACGTTAACTACTGTTATTAATGGCATTTCTCAGCTTTAACTGCTTTATCTTTCCATTTTCCCAATTTCCACTGTTCCTTCTCAAGCCTAACTCAAAACCTTCTTATTTCCGATAGGTCTTCGAAGTGTTTCCTGTGTCCCTCTTGTAAAGATGACTGTCCCTTCAGTATTTGAAGTGTAGTCATTTTCTATCTTCCTGCTCTAACTTTTCATTTCTTTCCCCTCATGGACAGCAGTGATGCTTCTTTAAAAGAGAGATCTCTTCCTCTTCTCTCCGTATAAAAACCTTTAAGGACACTGAACAACAGATTAAGGGGGGCAGGTCCTGAGCACTTTTCAAGGCCCACAGCTGCTTTTCCGACCTAATCTCCTATCAACACGTCTCTTCCTGAAGAGACTTCCACATTCAGACCATCCCGATCCATTAGGTACTAAACCATGCTGTCCTCTTATTGAAATCCTGCCCCTTCTCAGGGGGTGCTGCTTCTTGGAGTCTGCATCCAGTCTGGCTAGTAAAAGCTGCTCTGTCCCTGGGATTCCTGCAGCACTTTGTTTACTCTTCTGTTGGGGTATTGTATCTCCTACAGTCCCTCCCACAGAGCACTGCAAATATTTGCTGTGTTAGAATTGTTGAACTAGAAATTAATGCTTTCTTGATTGAAAACTTCATTAGCTCCAACTTCAAAAGTTGGAGTGGAACAGATCATCAGTCCTGTAGATAAGCTCAAAGTGCCAAACAGACATTTTACTCTATTTATACAGCAGGGTCATATATTCACACTCGGTCCATTGTCTTGGCACCTGGCTTTACTCTGTCAGTCAGAAATGAACGTCTCCCAGACAGCACAGCACCTTGTCTTTCTGTCCTCCTTCAGAACTCTTCAGTATCAGCTAAAACAATTTTATCAGAGGGTGTTCTGTGCAGAATTCCCCCGTGCAGAATTCCTCAGCTGTCCACTGTTAACCTTGCTAAAGATCAGAGCAAAAAACCTGCCCACATAACTGAAAATTGCTGTAGGCCAAGACTATTTTTCCCCCTTCCATCAACACATAGCCTATGTGACAGGTGTGTTATTTTGAAGTAAAATTATTTTTATTGGTTTAAGGAGGACACAATAGTAACGAATTCTGAAAATCAGTTGTAATGTCTAATCCCCTCCCCCATACCAGGGATGGAACTCGGGTCCTTGTGCTTGCGAGGCAGGCCGCGTGTAATGTCTAATCTTAAAAATCAGGAAATCTTATTCCTCTTATGGTGTTGTTTACCATTTTTAAAACTTCTGCCTTCAAGTTTTACCATACTCATCTGCTCTTTCTCCACTTGATCTTAGCCAAAAGGTGGAGAGATTGATCTGCTTTCTCACAGGAAGAGTAACAATGTTTTAAGAGATTGAAAGTGTTTCCCTTAGACTCTCAGATCCAGTCACAGAAGGCCTGGGGCCATCCAGACCCCAGACTGGTGGAATCCTCCCAGCCCCTGTTATATTTTCATTGGCTCCAGGAAAGAGACCAGATCTCGTTGGTGAAATTAAAATCGAAACTCAAAGCTGGCAGCCCTTAAATGCAGTAATTTATTCTAAACGTAAATTAAGAACCATTCACTGGTCACAGTGGTTCTCAAAGTGTGGTTCCTGAACCATGGCTGTCAGTAGGAGCTTGAATGAACTTTGGATCAGACCCTACCCCAGACTTAATGAGGCAGAATGTTTGGGATGGACCCCAGCAATCTATTTTAACACATCATCCAGGTGATTCTTTTGCAGGCTAACTTTGAGAACCACAGGTAATGTACTTGGCCCAACTCCCAGAAATCCTAATCATGTGTAGAATTACTGTGGACATCAGCCACACTTACGTGGGAATAACAGACTACAAAAATGTAGCATAATTCTAATAGCTTCCCATGGCTTTCCTAAGAAGTCTCCAAGCTGTGCACCAATCAGGTGGCAGAATTACCAATAAGGAGGGAGGGAAGAGGTCGTCAATTATTCACAGATACCTATTACAGAAGCTCGTGCCAGAGTCTAGACCTGTGCAGCACTGCAGTCCTGTCCCGAGGAGCTTACTATAACCATACAATGCCTTTCTGCTCTACTTACTGCTAGAATGAATACTGCTGCTCCGATCTTAAGACATTTAAGAAATGAGGTCTTTTATCTCCTCTCCAAAGCATCAGTATTCCTATTCTAAAACTTTCCAAATATGACATCTGCTTGTTGCTTTTTTCAGGCTATCTAATTTTTGCTTCCCTGCTCAAGTTAAACAGAGGTTAAAAATCAACATGCTGGCTGTGGATGACCATAGCTCGATTTCTTGGGATGGGAATAAGGACCAAGGAAGAGAATGAAGCCTGATTACTCCAGGGATATAGCTGCATCACGACACCTTACCTCAGCCCCGCTAGGAAACCAGAGAAGCAAGAGAGCAATCCAAACCTCTTCAGCACCACCACTGTTTCAGTGAGACTAAATCCCAGCCTGTCCACATGCTCTGCACAGCGGAGGTACTCAGCAGATACCGTGACAAGCAAAAGCACCAACTCAGAAGATACAGAGACTTGGTCTTAATTTTTAACACTTACCTTTGGTTGACCTCTCCTCACAAATGCTTTGAAACGCTTTCACTTTGACTCACCAATACTTCCTAACACCATTTGTTTCCCAAGCAATGTGCTGGATGCTGGGAGACAGCACAGTGGACAGGATACAGTTCAGGTCTCCTGAGGAGCCACAGTCTAGTGGAGTCTGCCAGCTCTTCAGGCAGTCATAATAAAAAGTGCTAAATGCAAATACGCGGAGTGGGGGGGGGGCGAAAGAGCAGCCACCCTGGGGCCCTGGAATGCAAGGCCAATGAGACAAAGCAGAGTTAGCTGGAGGGGGAGCTGGCTTCATTCCTGCCCTGCTTAGGTTGGCAGTTACGGACTTCCGGTGTCCGAGAGAAACTACTGATATCACGAGGGCAAGATCTAGCGTGGGAATGAATAAGGAATGTTCACCTCAGAGTTCTGCAAGAGAAAACAGCTAAGTCTCCATTATTTTTAACTGTATGCCCTGAATACTATTTTTTTTTTTTTAAGAGAACAAGAGAATTTGATTATG